CTCTCTCTCTCTCTCTCTCTCTCTCTCTCTCTCTCTCTCGCTCTCTGTGTGGGTGAGCTCTTCCTTCCCCTTCACTCGCCCTTCCTTCTCGCTCCAACACAGATGCGCACACACGCACATCCCAGGCAGAGGGATGAAGTGATACACACAGATGCTCCCTCTGTTGCTTCGCGAAGGTATACCCTGTACTAAACCAAAGCTTTGCGACGCTTTCGTACGCTTTTTTATCGCCTGAGATCCCATCGATCCATCTGTCCATCAATCTTCCACCCTACTACAACGGGTGTGTCGGAAAGAATTAAGCCCAGACAGATGACAATGATAATGACGATAATGATGACGATAATGATGACGATAATGATGACGATGATGGTGATGATGATGATGATGATGATGATGATGATGATGAAGAAGTTGGAGATGAAGGATACAATGAGGGCGAGGACCAGAACGAGAACGAGGAGGAGGACAAAGACGTCAAGAGCAAGGTTACCTGGGGGAGCTCGAACGTAGAGAAGGAATGGTCATGTGTATCTGAGTCACACTACCGTCTTCACCCGAATATAACACCCGGTCATTATAGCCGTATTTGGGGCATTTTTCAGTCCAGACGCGGCGATAATGACCGCGCGTTCTATTCGGGTGAAGACGGTAGGGCAGGAAATTACGCACCTGTCCCCATTACATACTCCCAAGCCTCTGCCTTGGCACCCAGCGCAGATCATCACTGCCTTGTCAAACCAGGCCCCTGAGTCATACCCCTGGTTCGAGAAATTCAAGGCGCAAAGATTTGGTATGTGGTCCACAGTCACGGTCTGCAGTTGGAAAGGGAGAACACCTCCACTTAAGATCCTCCCCCATCCGCTGGCGGTCAGGTCATCACCGATCTTAAGCCCAGAGTCGTCCGGAGAAAGAGCGATGGATCGAATTTTGTCTGAGAACGCCAAAGGTCTCTCAAGTCTCAGAATGGCGTAATCGCTGCTAGTTCTGAAATACTGGTCAAATTCAACCGACGAAGTGGTGTAGTCTTTATGGATCCAAACCTCTGCCGCCCTCACCCGGCTTGCCTCCTCCTTATCAGCGTTTGCAACGCCGACGTCGTAGTAGTTGCTGTCCGCGTTGGGATCGGTGTTCAGCTGTTCATGGTAGTAGGGGCCTGTGATATTCGTTCTGTTGAAATTGTCATCCACACAATGAGCTGCACACGTGGACGCACAATCACCGGCATCATCACGCAATCATCATCATGCACTCATCATCACGCAATCATTGAGAGAGAAGGGATCACGAGACGGGTTATTACTATAACTTACAAGTTATACAACCAAAACCACCACAGCCAGATCCCGACTTCACACAGTGCGCCACCAGATTTTTTTATTTTATTTTTTTTGCCACGACACCAATTATTAGAACCAAGAAGACGCCCATGATTACCGATCGTGGGTGTCCCTGCCCCCCCCTCTCCCCCAATCCCCCCAATCCCCCCACCCCACCACCCCACAACCCCCCAAAGTCTGGCACAGCCATGCCTTCTCTATGGAGTTGTGTATAGCGAACAGCACAACACACACACACACACACACACAAATGGGTCGGTGACAGTCCGACGAAGGCGATCTGGTGGTACCCTTTTAATAATAAAATAAAAAAAAAGAAAGTCCGACGAAAGATCCGGCAAGTCATCCTCTTTTCTGTGGAGTTGTATGTAACGAACACGAGAACCCCCCCCCCCCCCCCCCCCCCCACACACACACACACACACACACACACACACACGCACACACACACACA